AAACAGTGTCCTTGCCACTTGGGGAGCAGGAGTGGGTAGTGTGGCCCAGCAAACAGGAATGCAGTGTATAGATGCATTTAAAACAGCTAATTAGGAACAGATTTTTAAAAAACCCAGAAAAACATAATCAAGGAATGTTTACAAAATTAAACCTAAACAACAACAACAAAAATTGCTACATTTTTTTTGTAGAGCAATATTCCATTGGAGACCACAAATTATGGTGGTGTTTCAATTATTTTCTGGCCAATTAGCCCATCCAAGCATGAGCATAGGTGAGTTGCAAGGTCCTCTTCCAGAGCATGAATTCTGGGGAACTGAAGGGTTTTTCCCTGGGCATGTCTGTCTGAGCCTTCCCCAGCAGCTGCCAGGTGCCTGTCGAGTGCCACGTATTTCCTTACGGGGCTGAAGGATGTTTACATTCACATATTGCAGCTCCTAATGGCACACAAAAAACAATCTTTGGGCCAGAACAACATTCAGACTAGCACCTACTCAGATATCCTCCTTCCTACAGCAGTTTAGTGAGGGAAAAGATACGAACCACAGGCAGTCAACCTTCTGCTGGCATCATCTCTTGCTGCTGGCAGCTTCTGTGCTTTGGGACTTCCTGAGCAGGGTCACAGCTCCGTGGTTAATAACCCTTGCAGAGTTTAAATTTTTTTTTTAATGTGGTTTTGTAGTTGGTTTTGATCTCATCTATTCTTTTGACAGCTAGAATATCCCATGACTATGCATTTCAGTCTGCTATGTGAAATTTTTTTTTAAATTGTATTACCTCAGATGTTTCTATCCAAAATTCCCTTCTTCTATGAGAGTTGTAGAAGCAAATAATATTTCTTCCCTTATTTGTGTCATTTATTATATTGTGGGATACTAACACATCTGCCCTTAATGATCTCTTTTCCAGAAGATGGACGCCCAGTGCAGTTACATTTCACGGGGAAAAATTTTCTTTCATTTCATCATTCCTGAATTTTTTGATTTCTGTTTTGTCCTTTTAAAGTGATAAGGATCATATAATGATGTTTTCTCTTTAGTTTCTTGTTTCTACTTCCAAATCCTCTGTTTGTCTTTTTTTAAACTATTATGACTTTGAGTTGAACGATCCAATATAACACAATGCCCTTATTCCTGACTGTTACTAGCTAATTTAAAATCTGTTTTTCAATATGCACCATTTTGGGTGTCTTTCACCGACCATCAGGGGCTCTGTCAGCTGCTACTTGTGTTTGGTTTTGCTTTTGATACTCTGAATCAGTGCATTACTGTTCACCTCCCAACTTAATGAACCTAGTTTCATTCCTTCAAATCCTGGAACATGTTGGTATGAGTGGTTGTCTTTATTTAACTCAGACACTTCTGCTTCAGTTTAATTAAAGAAATGTAAAAACTTGTGGTAGCCAAGTATCCAAAAACGTAACCACACCTTAGTAGCCGGGCAAGATATTAGTTGCTGTGTGTAATTGCTTGGTATTCACAAATTTTCTAAGACATTCAGAAACTTTAGCAGGGTATGTTGGGGAGCAATTTTAATTGGTTGATTTCAACGTGGGCTATTCAAGCTTCTGTCTAGTGAAGTTTACTTGTGCATATCCCTTAGTGAAATTTCTACAGCTGAGGAAGATTTAACTGTGTTGGTCTTTCAATTCCTGTGAACATTAAAATGAGAGTTGTCACTCCTAGATGTGAACTGAGCTACCCTTCCCCTCCCAGCAGCAGTGAAGATTCCTGTTGGTGGCACTGATGTCTGTGCTCTTTTCCCTTTTTCCCAGTGGCACTGTCGGGTTTGTGCTGCAGCAGGCAGGAAGCCCTTGCACCTGTGGAGGAGCTGGTGCCCACCCCCATTCCCCTCCATCCCTTTCCCACCCCCCACACAGCTGGCCAGCACAGATGGAGCCCTCAGCAATCAGGGCCAGTAGCCAATTTGAGGCAGAGAAAAAAGAGGCCCTTTCTAGGGGCTGTGGGTTTCAACTCTCTGAATTTTGACCTGAGGGTACTCAGCAGAGGTATTTTTTTCCTATGCTAGTGGTATTTTTCTATTTATAATTGTTTTATTTGCAAGCAGGGAGTTTTGAGGTCTTGCTTCCTATTATTTCTTCAGTGTTTTCCTGCATTATTCCTTCACGTTTTGCTGGGTGAAATCAAGAGAGGGATAAGTATGTCTACCTCCTTGAAAATCCTTTGAATTGTACCTCCTCATGTTGAAAAACTCTAAGGAAAATTAATGGAAAACTGGCTAGTGTTAGATTTCCCATACCTGCTGCTTTGATGTGTTCAGAAACTGTGTAAGAGAAAGCTTTCTTATGGTGTTCTGGCATTCTCTTCTCTGGTCTCAGCTGGTGAACAGGAGACTAGAGTAGTGATTAAAGAAAGTCTTTGGTTTACAGCCCTGCTCCCCTTAAAATGCGCATAAAGCATTTGGCTATGATTTGCTTTCTCTGCAGGTGTGGGGTTTGGTTGGGTGAGCTGGGCATGTAAGGTCCATTTTTACCTCTTACTTAAAAAAAAAAAGGAAAAAAGTTAATGATGACTGTATTTATATTTAGCGAAGTCCATGGCATAGAAATAAAGCCTTCAAAGAATGCCCAGGGTTACTGCTGCTCCTGGTCCTCATGGGCCCTGGGGCTGTGTGCCTGCAGTGCCATTCCCAGGGCTGTCTCACCCTGCTCTGCTCCCCTGCAGTGCTGGCTGTCTGTGCTGCCCTGGGCTGCATTTCAGGGATGCTCTAACACCTCACAACTGTGATTGCCTCTGCTTCAGTCTTGGCCCTTTTGATAAAGACCTCATCAAGGCTGACTGAGGTAGGCGTTCACTTGCAGAAATGTCTTACAAAGCTTGCAAAAGGATTGTGAGAGGTATTACTCTAAGTTGCTTGAATGAGGTTTTGTAGTTTTGGAATCATGGCCGGTTTTCTGGGCCTGGTTATCTGAAATGAATTTGAGATACAGATGGTGAGGAAGAGCAGTTGCATTACTTTCAGTAAAGCACAAGTGCTTGATGAGTAGGACTGCTGGCTGTTCCCACACAGGAATTGACAAATGACCAGTTGCTCTAAGTCCAGAAGGTGAACACTAAAGAAAAGCAAACCTGAATGTTGCATTCTATTTTTCAGGATCCCAAACTACGTATACTTGTCAAGAGTAAGAATTTTATATGCTCCAGTTAAGAGGTTTCTTTAGCTCTTAGTAGAAAGACCTGGCTGTCAGCGCTCAGCCCTTGGTGTTTAGGTTTTTTTTTTCTTGCCAATGTCTCCTGTGTACAGACTTTTGCAGGGGGGTATGGAGACAGAAGCAGCCTTTTAAACATCTGGCTGTTATGTGGCAGTGAATATTCTGTGTCTGTGGGCCCTGAGTGAGATTACACAACTGTTATGTGCAGACTGTTTCCCCTTCCTAGCTGGGATTTAAGGTCTAGTCTGTACACCTGCTATACAGTGGGGGGATCTGAGGAGAAGCTTTTGGTGTGATGAATTTGAGGAGTTCAGCCTTGGTGTGCTGCTTAAATGGGTTTTCATTTAAGAGTAATGAACCAGCTTTTTATTTCAAAATATCAGTGTTATATGAAGTCCCTGTTAATGACAGCCCTATTATTTTTCCTGTAGTGGAAATCATTTGGCCCTTCCATTAAAAGTGGGTTGGTGCATTGTCTCTTGACCTCATTCATACAGGGCAGGAAGGCAAAATGCTCAGCAGTGAAAAATGATGGAAGAGTAGTTTGATTGTTTTTATTGATGCCATATTGTTTGTGTTAATCTAGTCTCTTTTTTAAATATGGAAAAGTTATTTCTTTGAGGAATCATAGCAAATGTGGTAATAGGGAGCCAGGACTTTGCAGTTCTATTCAGCATGTTTTTTTTGTCTCAGTTAAGTGCTAAATCTGAGGTGTTTGTGGGTTTTTTGGGAAGCCCCAGTCTTCTGTAAAAAGAAAGATGTATTTCAGTTCTGAGCTTGGCTTTGTGGCTTATGTTTGCTATGGGAAAAGGGCTGTAGCCAAATTTAAAGTGAAGAGCAGTATGTTTTATTTTTCAAAGAAAAATTTACCAACAAGTTCTGAATATGTGCTTTCCCTTTCCATGGGGCTTAGCTGGAGATGTCTTTCACCATTTGATGAGACAGTCTGTTTTCAAGCCTTCAGAATTGTACAATTCCTTGTCAGCCTCTTCTTCCAACATTGCATACCAATGCACAAACATGTGGATGTTTTTGCTCTCTCTTGTGTTGACTGAATGAGGACTCGAATCCAGAAATCAGGATTGCTATGTGATAGAAATGGTGTCAATGCGAAGATTGCCAAGTGGCAAACATGCACTGTGTTTGTAGAGATTAGCAGGCATAGAAAAATGTGTGTCAGTGTGTCTAATAAAAATTTTCTGCTTATTTTAAATGAAGGCAATTTCTTGTGTTAGAGGCAGAATACCTAAAATCCAAAGTTAATTTCTTGATGCCCTTATTTTCACTTCCTATCTCTGTAGTATTGTCAGTCTCAGGAGAAAAATTACTTGCCACTGAACTTTGGCTGGGAGTGTGAGAAGAGCATTGCTAATACACAGCAAGCATTAAATAGGTCATGTTCTTGCTAACTTCTTGTGTTTGCAAAGAATGATGCATGTTATTTTTCATTAAAATAACTTTCAGGCACATAAGCTTTCCTATCCAACTGAAGGCTAGAAGTATACTTAGATTACAGAAGCTTTTCCTGGAGAAGGAATGTTAGACAACATCAGGCTGTTAAAAAGGAGGGGCTGGCCCCATTAACCCAAGGTGTCCCACTAGCAGTGAGGAGCTGTCACCCTGGATGTGACCAGGCTCCTTGAAGCATAGGAGATCACTGCAGTGCAGAAATTCTTCTTCCCCTGGTCTGGGTCATGGCTGGGGTAGGGCAGGTTTGCTCCACAGGCACCAGACTGTGGCTGGCCAGGCCATAACCAAGAACCCACTGCAGCTGGGTATAAATTACCAAAGGAAGGAAGGGTCAAGTAAACCACGCCACGCTCTTGCTGGGTTTTTTGCAATACTTTAATACAGCATTAAAATGCTAGAATACTAGAGGAAAGCTGTATACTATCCAGCAAATAAGGCACATGTCGGAATGCCATTTTATGGACAATCCACAACAGAGGTTTTACAGTCTTGTTAACAACACAGTCACCAGATGAGCAAGCTGGCATCTTGATTGCTGAAACAGAACTGGTACCTCTGAGGCCTTTGTCCATAGGTTTTGTTTGTTTTAGCTGTACAAGTTTATTAACAGTTACAGAAAAAGAAATTATACAATTTGCCAACTGAATCTGACAAGGTCAGTGGGTACAGCTAAACAAATGTAATAATCATCAGGTTAATTTTTTTTAAAGCTGAAGAAATTCATAAAATAGTGTTAGTTTTAGCACTATTACACAATGCAGTGAGTGCTGTACTAAATAACCTTTTAAAGGAAACAAGAATCCAGTATAGGGCTGGGCAGACCTCCCATTTTAGCATGGTAAAATATCAAACTAAAAACTCAATCCTTCATAATATAATCAAACTACATGAAATGTAAAGTGTAAAATGCTTCAAATACGTGCACATGCATATTCTATATTGCTATGAGTTCTAATTAAAATAAACGTAAACCCCTACAATAATCTACTTCAATCCTTTTCTCTTACATCCTTTGATTGACATTATTGCTGTAGATGATACTGCATAGCTGAGCTCACAGTCTGCAAGAGTTGTGAAAGTCAAGTTAAACAGTGTCCCAACCAACTCTCTCCCCCTGCAGCAGTGGGGAGGAGGCACCATTTGACACAAACCCACCACTTGTGCTTCGGAGTCTCTGAGAGCCGAGTCCCCACGGCGCCTCCAGCATCTTCTGTGTCTCCCCGAGGCCATAAAGTGACAGAATACTGTTATCTGCTCCTCACCTGCTACATGTCTAGTGATAGCTTTTCTAGCACTCCTTCCCCAAATACACATAAATAAACCGTAGAAGCATTTTCATATAAGTCTAAGCACTTGAATAATACACTGGTTACTTAATACTGATATTTTCATCCAAGGATAACAAAAACAATATGGCTTAAAGAATTGCAAGGTTTTTTGTCAGAATTATGTACCAACTTTCATATAATATTTTATGTAGACAATATTTCCTTCTTAATGTAGTTCTGTTGCATACTTTATACAGACAAAAGCATTGTAAAAAAAAAAAGTAAATTATTTCCATAAATATTTTCTTGAGGATACATCCTTAGTTCTGCAAAATACTGCAAAATACTTAAGAAAACTCTTACCTCTGTTAGTATCCTAGTTGAGAGGAAGGCCCTTCTGAAAGCTTCCCAATTGTAAAAACTTTGCCCGAAAAACAAACAATACTTTTTTAAAAAGGCCCTCAAATATATACAAAAAAGTTACTGCAAAGAGTTTCCAGATAACAATTCAGTATTATAAGAAATATTTGTAACCATTCAAAAATTTTAACATCTAAAAAGGTTTCCAAAATACACACATAGTATTAAAAAAAAAAAATTGAAAGAAACTCTATGTCAAGTATAACTCAAGATAAATACACATCTGCAAGTAAAACTGTAAAATACTTCATACAGGGGTAAACATTTATATCAATCATCTATAGCTAGTAACTGCACACGATTGTCCCTTTGAAATTCATCCTAGAAACACAATCCATCATCCCTATATCTAAGATCTCAAACAGCCCTCTGAGCACTTGAGTGATATAGCAAACTCAATGGACAGCACTGGTTTTGCAGATAAGAGATATGGGTTGAAGCTCAGTTGGGAGTGGAGCAATATCTGAAAGAATGATTTTTCTATGGGGATAGTTCCATCACATTTTAAAATATGTTGGCAAAGGCAAGTGGAAAATATATGTCTGTCTACTTAACTTGAAAAACACGTGTTGATGATTTATTGCTTACTGTTCAGTGGACAACTCTTAGGATCCAGAATAGGAAAAAAAAATCTATGTGACTGCAGGACAAAGAGCACTAATCTATGAAGTCTGACATTTCCAAAAGCTCTAAACTTTTAATCTCTTAAGTAGGTTTCTTTTTTAAAAAAATGCTGGAGTGTCACAGGTATACAATCCGTATATAATCTAAATTTCATGTTATACAAAAAGGTAAAATGTAGGTAATACTTCTAGGTATAAGGCTTCTCTCAGTCATATGTAACTTCACATTTTTAGATTAAAAACTCAGTCCCATATAATGGGGAACTTCAAAATACACCTATTTTCAGAAAAAAATATATACTCTTGTGTATTTATCTGAAATTAAATAGCAACTTTGAGACAAAAAGGCCTCAAACTGCTTGTGTGGCATCATTTTACATCTGTGGTAGCAGCAGTAGAAACTGGCTAAAATGGGGCCATCCTTTAAACTACTAGGATTTTTCTTCATCACCTTTAAATGAAGCATTTGTAATAACTTCATTGTAGCCTCATTAAATCAAAGCAGCTAAAATCCTATAAAACACATTTCAAATTACTCGAACATTTTTCCAGAGGAGTGCCAATGCCAAATTTGATATGAAATGCTATGACCAACTCATGAAACAAATTGTGGGGTGTTTATTTTTAGTTGGTTTTTGTTGTTGTTTTTAAAGAAATAAATGAAAGTTAAAAAAAAAATCTCCAAAAGGGTGAAAAGTAAAAAAAAATGGAGTATGCTGGATATACTGGTGGGCTGTCAACAGCAAGCATCCGAGATTGAAAATCCAGTTTGCCAAATAAATGCACAGAGCCAAACCGCTCTCAGGTACATCCCCAAAGAATACTTGTTTTTTAGGAAGGCCTGTATTGATTTAAAACTCTTTTTATTGATGCTTGCTTCACTTCTGTCAATACTATCTACTAATGCCTTCAACGATTGCTAGCTGATGCTCTAAATGCAGAGCTAGTTAGAGAACATCAGAAAGCAGTCACGAGAATTTAAAAGATAAATCAATTCCTCATTTTTCCAATCAAAAATCTGTGCATTTGCCTTTTTTTTTTTTTAATTTGGAAAGAGCTGGTTATATCTATAGGTAAATTACCTTTGTGTGGGGAGGGAGGGAATAGAAGAAATCTACATTTTGTAATCCATGTTTTTGTTTTTTTTCTTTGAAATGAAAATTCAGAAATGTCCCTTCTGTGCCACTGACTAAGCCATAAGCTGTCATACCCCATTACTCGTGTGGATGTGTTTTTCCAGCAACTCCAAGTGCACAGACTCGAGCGTGGAGCGGATGGGCTCCAGGGCTACGAGCAAAGCCAGGCAGGGAGGCACAGATTGGGGGAATCCTCCCCTTGCCTCAGCTGGGTGCTCCTGCCTTGCCCCAGCCCCAGGTTTAGGGAGGCAGGGTCAGCCCTGTGCCCCTGCTGGGATCTGTGCTCTGCCTTAGGCAGCACAAACTATGGCAGGGTCACTTCTTGCCTTTCCTGTGTTCTTCATCTGCTTCTCCCCAGCACGAGGGCAGGGGGAAATCTGCTCTCCTCTCCATTGCAAATGTGCTAAGCATTACTTAAATACTTCACGTGTCTTCTGCCTAGGAACAAACACATCAATAATATAAATACTGAACTCTCATAAGTATGCTCTTAAGAATTATTATGCTACACCTATAGACATTAATTGTGTTAAAGTAGATCACGTGTGTTTTTAGTACAATCTAAAAGTCCATAAGCTAAAGGCATTGCCTTGCAGTGTTGAATCTGGATAAACAATTCTTAATAGGGCACTGTCATGAAAATACCAATGCTTATAATGCTCTTTTAGTCAGCTTTTTGTCAGAACCTGGTGGTGTGTGATATAGTGATACAGCTATATCAAGAGTTGTGCTACTTTACTGGATTTAGTGGTTATCATAACATGGATATCATTTCAATACTGAACAAAATGCTTGATAGCAACATCTTAGTTTCAGGGAGAAAATAAAATAACGTTTTCCCTAATCTTCATCTAAGGGTGTTTCTCTACATGTTGTTTAGCTAGACGTGAACCATCTAGGTGATTTTTTTTTGTTCATGTACTGTTAAGTGCTCAAGAGGAAAAAATAGATCTGGTTTTAAAAGCTGCTCTTTCAGAATTACTCATGCTTGAAACAAACTATTGAGATTAATCCTAGAGGTCAGGCTTAGAAAATCCACCCCTAGATTTGCTTGTGTATTTTCTTATTTGTATAGACAGATTAGTATCTTTGTTGAGAGAATTTGTCTCTAAGTTAATTTGTGAATCTGGTGCAAAAGAATGTGTTTGCATTTAAAAATGCTAAAACTGCCTATCTTCACTGAGGCAACTGAACTGTTTATTAGTGTAACTTTCAACAATATTATTTCCAGCTATTTTAGTTGAAGTTGCCAACTGGGCAAAAGTAGTTTCCAAGTGATTAATTCAGTTAATTCTATTTTAGCATTACATAGGACTTTTCATCCAGTGATGCCAAAACACTTAAGAAATATTAAGCAAACCTCACAACTCTCCTGTGAGGTAGGTATACTAAAGTATTATTACCCCCATTTTGCAGCTGGGGAAACTGAGGTCCAGAAGAATCTTGTGACTTGCCCAAAATCAGGGAGCTGTGGTCAGAAGCCAGGAGTCAGGATGCTCATCCATTGCTGTGACCATCAGGCTGGGTGGCTTGGGCTGCCCATAAAATAATGGAGTTTGCAAGATATGTACACGCTGCTCCCACTGAACAAGCAGATGCAATTTTGCCCTACTTTATAGCAAAGCAGGGAAATGGCAAGAGTTTCACCCTGGAACAAATTTGTCAGGAGCTTCATGTTCCATAGCTGAATGCTCATAGTAAGTTTTCTACTTTCTTTATAAGAGCTTGTCTTGACATACTGGTAACATCCTGCTGTCACTTGGCATAAACCCCCTGCTGTCTTTGCATTACGGAACTAATCCTCAGAACAAATTTAGTTCACATCAAGTTATGAAGGATTTAAAGTGTTTTCTCTAAGTATCATTCACACAAATCATCTCCCTAAAGGAAACTTCATAAAAATATAAATTGCTGATGTAAAAAATTCCTCCCAACATTATCCCTCTAATTTTTTTGTGAATGCTACAAATGAATTGCTTGTTGTGCCCTTTTGCCAATGTACTCTCATGCAGACATACAAACAGGATACTGTCTCGAGGTACTTTCAGTCTGTATTTGCCAATCCCTGATGTGATGCTCTTTGCAGCAGGCTGTCCCTGTGCAAAGTTCCACCTGAAACGGGACAATGAAATAGAACTCCTAAATTTCTCCCCAGGTATGTAGGTGCTTCAGGAAGACATAAAGAAAGAGGGTTATATAGAATGTTCTCCATGCCTCAAAACACCCCTATGGCTAAAAAATTTCATATTATAACACATTTCCATAGTAGAAAACAGGACATAAAAATATTTTCAGACAGTGGCTTTGAAACTACTATAAATAGTAAGTTTGGCTAATCTTTCAGTTAAGGGTTTTGGGGTCAGTTTTAAGTATTCTTATCCCCTTATTCATAGTACATTTAGTGTGCTTGTGGCCTAATGAACACGCCATGCACATAGAAGGGGCCATGTCAGTCGGATTATATGACAAGAGAAGGATCTGGTAGTTGCATAAGCAAGCCAATTGTGTCTCCTCCAAAATCCTCTTGGAATCTTATGGCATTCCCTTTCTACCCAACCCACACACTCAAACAATAATTCACTTTTTTTTCCATTTCCTGCAAAAATTATTTTGCCTAAGCTCTGCCCAAGAGATGGTAACAAAAAAAAAAGTCCAAGAAATCAGCAGCACAAAACTCTTAAGACTCTCTAAAACTAGGAAAGCAGTAATTCTTCTTTTATGCTGTGGCTTGTTTCACATTCCTTTGTCTTGTCATATAATAAGAACAGTGTTCGTGTCATGGATGAGTGCTTGCAATTAGTGGCCCCACAGTTACTGAACCTCTGCAAAAGCCATACATGTAACAAATATTCCTTGTGAATATTATTCCTTGCCTTTTGAAAAGTACTTCATTTCACCTGGCTGTGATATAGGGTCTGTGTAAACAATCAGCAGAACCTGTAACTGTAGTTCTGTCGTGAACACCATCAGTAACACTTTATGTGTGTACATATATAAATTTACATATATATGTATACAAATCATAGTCCTGTAAATACCTATTGCATGCATGCACATGCACAGGAGAAATGTTACATTCTATTAATGGTAAGGCATATTATTAGATAGGCAATATTGGCAATTATTTCAGCTTTTATCTTGATCTGTTGTGCTGCTGTTGATCTCATGCTGCCAGAGAATCTGTAAGGATGATGGGGATGGGCAGAGGCCACTTGGAAGGTTTATTGCACACGGCGGCAGTAGTAGCCCAAAACTTTGCACTTCTCACACAGGTGCTGAGGATGTTCTTTGCTCTGGTCTGAAACATCCAGGCCATCCGGCTTTTCCAGGGGTCTCTGCAGTGTGGGAAGGAAATCAGATTAGATTCAAGGTTTTGTCCTTGTTACTCTTTATTAAGCGTGTGAAGTCTGCTTTTATTCCCTAACTGAGCTTTCTACTGCTAATTAAAAAGGTACTATGTTTCTTTCCTGAAGGTATGGAGTGATTTTTTTCAGCCCTTCAGCTCTACATTGGTTCAGAGTAGTCTCACAATTTAATGTCATTCTTCATGAAGGTGGTGCTAACTTTGTTGCAGACAAATTACAAAAATACTGAATAAAGGACTTAATTTATAAAATCAGTAACAAAGGAATTCATTTGCTTAGCTCCAGTAACTTAGATGTCCCAAAGGCATTAACACCTAAAGCATGGGAATCCCATTATTCAGCAATGCAGAGCAGGGATTACCTGCTAATGATAGGACTAGCTGCTAAATGAAGAAAACTGTCTTAACTATGCAGATACTACACAGCTAAATGGTGTTTTCACAATAGGTAGTTCCATGTTTTTGAGGCTGAAAGTTTTGAAGCAGAGCAGTTGCAAAGTTATTAATAAAAAAAAACCTAAACCAATTCAAAACCAAAACAAAATCCAGCCTCATGACATAATCCTTTGCACTGAATCTGAGTAATAGAATATGTATTTTTAATAATATTCATGAAATCACAGCATTGAGGGAAATGAAGCTGTTTTGTTGCTAGTAGGTATTTGTGCTTTCATCTTCCTTGACATGTAAAAGGCTTCATAACCATTCTGAAAATAAAATACCCATCTTAAATACTGTGACAAAGTTAAATGTTTGGGAAGTCTAATAGGTAGGGAAGTGATAGAGATGTGAGGTAGAACTTAATAAAGTGCACCATTTGCTTGGAAAAAAACCCAAGTTCCCTAACCCATAATTGATGTATTTTCATGAAATGTATCTGAAAGACTGTTTCATTGCACAGTGCCATGAAGGCAGCAGCTCTTCCATGGGACTATGGTAGACACAGCATGTGGTGTGAAATCTGAAAACTAGCCATAAGCATCTCACTGTTTTTACAGGGATATTAGACCCTTGCTTATATCTTCAAAATGTGATTCTTGGAGCAGTGGGTGGGTAAATATAAATTACACCATCTTGGCCGTTTATCTCTTAATACCTTTCTTAATCTTAAAGACTTTTCTTTATCTGTAAAGTCTTAAAAGCATACCTGATCATCTAAGATTTCATTTGTATATTCTTCATCAAGCCACCTACCTGAAACTCTGTGGACAGGAACAGAGATACTTAAAGCTTTTTTTTTGCTATGTAATGCTGCAAGAACTACTCATAAATTGGGGAGTAGAAGGGTTTCTCAGCTCTCTGAATAGCTAAAATGACACAAAACATATTCTATCATCTTGAACTTGGGATGTCTGTAAATTCTTGCTTGATTGTACTGGATTATAAGTGCAACACTTATTATGTTGCACAGCTAGACAAACAATCTATAGGAGTGATTCAGTAGTGATTGTCAATGGTTTGGTTTTGATTCAGTGTTTTGAACCATGTTATAGTGCTGCACCACAAAAGTCTTTGAGTCTAACTTCATTTACATTCCAACTGCAAATTGGATTTCCCAGGTAGATGGACTCCTCATCTCCAAATGCCCTGCAACCCTACTGAGCTTTAAATTACTTGTTTGACATCACTGTGTTGAGATTTGAGATCAGAACCAACAATTCTGTTTCTAGGCTTACAGTCCAAGCACTGGTCCAGATACTGCCTCCTCCACAAGACAGACAAGTGTGTTTGGTCAGAAAAACTGCCTTTTCTACCTCATCTACCACTTATTCTACCAACATCTGCCCACAAATATTCTTCAAGAATTTGCATTATATAAATATACAAAGATGAAGCCCAGGTTCTGGAGTCCCAGGGGTTAATATGCACTCTTCAATAGCAAATTAGAGTTTTGAAATGCTACACTTAAAACAGGCTATTTGACTCAGCTCTGATTGCTTCTACATGCTAGCTGTGCTCTGATTAAAGGGAAAAATACAGCAGTTATCATGTTTATTGATATAAGCCAGATTTTTTTTTTTTTTTTAATATGCGAGGCCTTGGGAATAATTTTTCCTGGAAATAGTGCAAAGGACATTGGGAATGCCTTGAAGCGCCAAGAGTTTTTGGATGGTTTTCAGAAACAATAGCTCTCCGTGGTTTGCTTTCCCCCTGTGTTGATTGAGCTCAGCTTTTTGGCCTGCAAAGCATTTTGATTTCAGAACTGTTATTGTTACCAGTGTGTTAGGACACAGGCTGGGGAGAGAGGGGTTACAAATGCAGGAAAGCAGGTTGTCAAGGGCCAGCTGGAAGGAATGAAGCCATGTAGAGCCCAGACTGCATTTCTGGTGAGGTGGTGGAGGACTGAGGCTTTGAAATTGGTAGTGTATTTGTGTGGTTTGTGTCTCAAAACCACTTCAACCCAACTTTTGCATAAAATGAAATCCCAGCTTATCTCCATTTGCCATTTTATCTTCATAGGTTTCTTGTAAAGACAAAAAAGAACCCTTTAATCACCCTGAGTAGCGAGTGTTCTTGTCCTGCTGCTGTCTGTTACTAACTGAGAACCTAAAAGTAATAACCTCATACTCTTGGAACCCTTCTTACACCATGCTACAAGTGTAGGATGTTGGTCAAAGTGCTGTGTGTCCGCCAGGGCTGGGCAATTCTCCCCAGCTCTGGTGAGGTGGGAGCAGAGGGGAAGGAGAGGACAGTGGCACAGGAGGCTGCAGGGTCTGCTGCTGCACACTGTGTCGGCTCTGGGGACTGCCTGAATTCTGCACGACACACCAGGAACTGAGGAGGCTGCAAGAGCTCTGCTCTGCTGCTGAGGACTCAGCCATGCACTTGGGACAGGCTATTTGGCTGAAAAGCCATCTCCTTTCCTTAGAAAGTGGTGAAATGGGGCTTGTAGAACAACTGTAAATCCTGCTATGTTCCTCAAGGGAAAGGTATCCTTTTAAATGAGAGTTTAACTGTAAAAGTTAAATTTTGTTGAACCTTTTCCTTTTTCTTTCTTTTTTTTTTTTTTTTTTTGTTTGTTTGTAAATGCAAGCATCTACAGTTATATTCTTCCAGGCTTCAGTTTTGTGCATCTTTCTTTAATTTTCTCCTGGTAGTTGCAGGGTGGAAATAATCTTGTGCAGCTCCACCAGGAAAACATTTGGTGGTGGTGAATAAAGATATTGCCTCAGGGGAATGAAGCTGAAAGAAATTTAAATTTATATATCAATTCCTGACCTGCGAATTAACTTCTGATTGTGAATTATTGCTGTCCCAATCTACATGGACTGAGTGACCTCTGCATTCCCCAACAGTCAGCTGAAATCCCAAACCCCTCAAACAAAAAACTCACCCTTATGAAGTGTTAGGTGTTAAAGAAAGCATCACTAGGACATCTTGAGGGAAATTGCTTCCACTAAAATGTAGAATGGAAGAATGTGCCTACTTCTGTTTGTATTTAGAAGACTGATGTTTTTTCTGCTGTAGAATGGAACAATTTACTTGCACCAGTGGTGGATCGAGGAACACAACAGAATTCAAATGAGAGAAAACACTTAAAATCATTTTCTGGACTTATTTACATCAAGTCTTAATGCAGCAAATGAGAGGATTAAATGTCAGATGAGGAAAGTGAATAGAAAGATTCTGCAGGTATTGCTGGCAGGATAATTGTTAGGTTAACAGTCTTAAGGAGCCATGCTTCCCTCAAGAAACACACACGATTGTGAATTTGTAAATTTTTAGTCCAATAAAAAAATTGGGCACCGGGGAAGAAAATACTAAATGCAATGCACATTCTTGAGCAGCAGACCCTCTGCTTTTCTATCTGCCTGGGGAAAGAGGGACATTACCAAGGCCCTGAGCTGTCGCTGTGAATCCAAGAGGCAGTGATAAGAAGGCTGCAGATGAGAGGCAGGATGCTTAGAGAGAGCAAGCAGCCTCTGTCAGCAGCATTCCTCTGGGACAGGCCAGCCAGGAATGAATGATAACAGCATGAGGTAAATGGTGAAAATCTCTTTTTAGAGTTCCGAAAAACAGCAGTGTGGGATGAACTGCATTCCCATAGCTGGAGTACACAAGTGTGGGCATGCTAGGGAGGGTTTGTTAAATCTAAAGAGTCAAAAGATCATGTTTGTAGGCTTGAAACTGTTGAAAAGTTTATTGGGCTTGAATGATCATACCCAATCCTCCCCATAGTGAGGGAAGCGAGGTGGCTGTGGTTGCACTCAGATACGGGAATTATGATGAGACCACTGAATTGCCCATGAAAGTAATAACTTGAGTATCATGAGGTATGTATTTACATACCAAATTATTTCCAGTCCAGCAGTAAATTCCTGACAGCTGGAAGAAAATAGTGTCCAAGAGGACAAGTCAGTCACCAGATGGCTGGTTCTGCACCAGTGCAACAGCTGTCATCACAAACAGCACTGGCCTTAGCCACAAAGTCGGAGAAGAAGCCTTGATAAGAGGCCAGCCAGGAAGCAACCATGGGCGCAGATGTTGCTGCTATAGTAGGAAGGGGAAGAAAATGAGAATTCAGAGCTTGGCATCTGGGCTGTTACACTGCCAAGAATGCTGGTGAATGACTGTAAGGACTGCTCTGTTGTTGAAGCAGGGTAAGAAGGAGCATAAACAACCACAAAATCCAAATTCCTTGGAAGAATAGGAGAGGTTTAAGTCTTGTCTGAGATTTCTGTTTATGTTTAGAGTAGCTAAAATAACTACCTGGGAAACAACTTTTGAAACTGCCATAGAGCAGATTTGTCTGGTTAGTTCTTTAGCATTCAGTAAGGCTTGAGCCTGTGGTTTTTGCCCCATGTTCTGTGCATTCCTGTAAGCATTCCCATGGGAGGGTTTGTCACTTGAATGTATGGTGAAAATTAGCAAAGTTTGCTTGAGGAGCAGTTTTGCATCTCAGGTGCAACAGCCACCTGATTCCCTATCTGTGGATGAGAGGGGGAATAAATGGCAGCAGCCCTTCTGTCTGTTACTTCTTGTAATACATGCTCCACCATCTCTTTTAAATACAGAGATTTAGAGCTGTATTTATAGAGCACTCTAAAGTATATACACAGCTGCAGAAGTGCTGAGAAGACTTTTCCTGCCCCAGAGAGATTAAAAGCTCATTCTCACAGCTAGGCCATGTGGACTAAGACCATAGGGCTGAATTGAGACATTCCTTGTGGGGAACTGGCCCAGGATAGTTTCCTGGAGTGAAACGAGCCTCCAGGAACAATGAGCAGGTGGCAGGAAAGTGTGGCTGCTCTCCTCTCCAGGGACTCACTAAGGAAAGGTATGCATAGGAAATCAAGATTTGAGCTTAGCTGCACAAGCCACTCACAGAGCCAACATGTGTGCTTGAAAGGCTACCCCAGAGCTATCCAGAGTGGAGATTATTATCTTCAGTACTCTGATATTATTGCCTGAGCCAGTCACATGGGAGTACTTCAGCACCAAACCATCCTTTGTGAGATATGGACAAACCTTACAGTATTGGAAAGTCCACGGATTTGGGAAAATGGCTGGGGAAGATGAAATACAGCTATGGAGATGAGGATGGGAGAAAAGGGCAAGCCTGGCAATTGAGAAGAAACTCCTAATTCACAGCAATGAATATTGAGCAATCCTGAAATAAGGTTTTCAATTTTTTGTCCTAAATTGGGCAGAAGCATCCTATGCTCCAACAATGATGGTGGTGCAGCAAGGCTTGGTGGCCCATGTGGTTGGATTTCAGCTATTTAATAGCATCTGCAGGGTCTGATCTGTTTGGTGACAAACTGAGAGAATGCAGAGATATTCACTAGGCCATACAAGAGGCTGGGAAAGTATCCTCAGAGGGGGTTGATTTTTCCTGTTAGGTTATGTGTTTACCAAATGGTAGGGCAAGGAGTAAGAATAGGAGATGATGAATTCCAGCACATTGCTGAAGAGAAATATCGACAAGATTGCTTGAAAGTAGAAATCATTTATTTCACTAGAAGTAAATACTGTCTGATCTCAAAAGGAGGTCAGACTTCTCCAGTTCATCTGTTTTTTGTTAAACTGAAGAAAAAATTCCACTTATTGATTATTTGTACTATCATCAATCACATCACATATTGTGGTGCTTTGCTGTTGTGTAGTGTCTGTCTGCTGTTTTCTTTAACTGCAACACTTTCTTTTTTCAAATGGAGTTAAAATGACATGGGAGAATCATAGTGTGTTGGAGGAGGCAAGATATTTTCTTAGGTGAATTATTCAAGTTGGAAAACCTGTCCAGTGGAAGATTCAGATGAAAATGCAAATACTCTGACCCCATATAATAAATGCAGAAGGAGCACATAATTAACTGAGGACATCCACTGAGAGGGAAGTAAGGGCTTAAAATCTTCTAGAACTGCATAGGAAATCAAACATGAATGAGGCCTCTGCTATGGTAGGTACCAACGAAATAAAATCTAAAGAATAAATAGAAAATGTTAAGGTGGTGTAGCAGTGCTATTTTTAAAAAATAATAAAACCATTATTTTTTGTGCCTTAATTCTCAAACTAGAAATATTGGATTTCTAATTAAATCTTTCACTGTGCTTTTATAAAATACAGTTGTTAGTGTAAGAGTACCTGTATGGTACCTGGCTATAACATATTCTCCAAAATGGGGCAGAATAGCTCCCCACTGATAAATGTTGATACATGTTTATAGAGTCTGGTGTGGCACTGGATGCTTGTACAAAAGCCATGTATGGGATTGTGACAGGAAGCAGCACAGAGCTCCTGCAGCCTGTTAGCTCTCTGCTGCTGCTGGCTCTGTGCATGAATTGATGCTGTTCCTTCACTGTCTGCCTGTGGCTAACCAGAAGCAGCACAGGGCACCACTGGAAGAATGAAAAGAAAGGATGACAGTGGTAACACTGAGAAATAGAAGCAGATGGAGGTGAGGCAGTGACAATAAGACGTAGAAGCTTTCAGCTCAGGATTCAAAGTGCATTTTGGGGAAGAGCACTCGTGACTGGTTGCAAGTTATTTATATTGGGAAGCGTAGCTGAAATGCACTCTTGTCTTGAAAATCTCAAATAACTGCAGTACCTGCTGCTGGGACACGAACACATGGATGGACACGTGCTCTTCCACATCCATGAGTTATGGTGTCCTTAGGGAATAGCTTGGAAACGGTGATAGGGGTCGCCTGTGGAAAGCTGCACTGCAGATGCTGTGATGATTCCCCAGAAAGTGCTGTGTACGTGGCTTGGTGGCAAGCACAGCTCACAGAAGCACTGCAACCCTCCCCCAGTGTGTGTCTGACTTTAGTTCTGCTGTGCAGATTGGGTCCTCCAGCCCTGCCATGAGGGGCAGCTCTGCACAGTGGACTACTTGCAAAACTTTACAAAATTGTACACGTCTAAGTCTGTAATGTGGATGGGATTGTACACTCCTGTACAGTGTGGATGGGATACCTCTTGAATTATTTCTTGACCCTTTGAGCACCAACATAAATGAGGGAAAGAATTTTGAAGAACAAGGTAAATATTTATAAACTTGTGCTATAAATGGTCTTGTGCTATCAATGGTCCTGTAATTTCTCTCACCCTCAAGACTGTACTTCCATGTGTGTGGTAAGTGACTCAGCCTGGATTTTGGATTTTTTTAGACAAGCTGTTTAAACAGAAGTAAGGAACAAGATACCTTGGAAGCTTTGAGATTCTTATGTTAAGTTAGTGTCATTAACCTAGGAATTTTGTAGGCAGGAGTCACCTTAGTATTGTTCTCCTTTATCACTACTCTTTGTAAGTAGAGATAGCCCCTTGAGCAAATCCAACACGTGAAAAAAGCAGTGCACATGGGAAATAACTCTGCTGACACCAGTGAAATGAAACAATAAATTGGTGCAAATATGAAGAGAATCAGAAGAACTAGAAGGCCAATTGTTATTGCAGAATTTGTTTACTCTACTTAAGATTAAAAAGTCCCACTGTCTCTTTCTACAAGAAAGGCAGGTAAAGATGTTGGGTTTGAGCTATTTGTACTAAAAGAAAGAACATTCAAATTTTGCAATTCTGACGCCTGTCCAGATTTCCAGGACTGAGAAAGCTCATCTGGGAAACGTTCTCAGTGGTGTGTTGTAGTGCATGTCAAGTTCTGTTTAAGTCTTACCCATTCTTTACAAAGTTAACAGCATTCCTAGTTCCAAGCCTGTTGCCATCAGGTCTGCACTTCTCCTACCTGTTTGTGAGGATAAACATTGATGTGGCACTTGATACATTCTTGTCCCATGTTAGCCCAGGAATTTCCACTCATCCATTTTCTCTTGCATTTGGGGCACTTATATTCACCAAAGCAGCGTTTCTTGCCCTGGTATGGTGTCAGGCCTTCTCCTTTTGGACGAGCCTATGAAACAAAAGGAAATAGCAATGAATGACTGAAAATGGGGAGGGGTGTAGTAGAAAAATAAAGATTTTTTTAAATTAGGAAGCTTTGGGCAGAAGATATTGGAGGCAAGCATGAAGGACATATCCTGTTAATGAAGAGTTCATATGTTGAAGCTAGAGTTTAACAGTTCTGAGAGTGGTTTCTGTAAGAAGTATTCAAAAGTTCAAGAAAATATAATACTCATTAGTGACACTGAGTATTCAGAAATATGCCTTTTCACTTTTAGAAGAAATAGTTTTAATATTAGTTTCATTATGATTAATTCACCTCTACTGAGTATATATCATTAGCAATATATATAGCATCAGGAGGAGTGGCTCATTAGTAATAAAGGATTACTTGTTAAGTAGAAATTCCAGTTTAGAAATCTAATCTATTTTACACTAAAAACTATAGTTAAGAAGATTTTCAATAATTCTGCTTTTTGCAGCCTATGCATTATCATATGGGAATGCACAAGCCAGGATTGAGTATGAAGGAATGACATTCTGACTAGTGGAAATAATAACTTTTATTAACTTTATCTGGTTTCTTGCTCTTGGTAAATGGTTTCACTATTTCTGCCTTGTGAAGGAAGCAGGAAAGGATTCTCAAATGGTGTGTTGTGATGTCTGAATGTTAAATGTCCCTTTAAGAAAGTCTTTTTATCTAGGGAAGCCAGTAGAGTTGACAATGACTGTATGCAAATGCCAGGTTGATTTTTGTACATATATTCACTCTAAACACTAAAACTATGTGTTGTACTTAACAAAATGAGGTGAGGTATGTGAAGATGATGGTGTTGCATCCAGCTATGCTAGGATAGCTGTAAAGATGAAGCCATTTTCCCTGAGTCCCTAGCAGGTGTTGAACCCCTGCCCATGAATTCATGTGTTTAGTTTCCTGCTGCCTAGAGGGAGATACTTTGCCTGTATAATGGCAGTATACTATGATCACCTATCAAAGGATTCTTTGTCACTTACTTACATGTCAGGCCTAAGCAGCTTTTCTTTTTTAAGGCTTCCAGATAAAGTTTACAAAAGTGAAATGAGCCATCGTGCTGGGAAAGGATTTGTTTTTGTTTTGGGAGCTTGTGTGATTTCTCAGTGTGTAGGTCCAAATTGCTTTCTATGTGAAAACACGGGTTGCAAAAGCAGGTGGTTGGCAGAAGACCTGAGCTTGGCAGGAGCTCTGAGGCTCAGGCTCAGTGGCTGATGGAGATGGTGAGCAGTGTTACCTCCTGGGTTGCACGTGGGAGCAAGAGGGAAAGGAACATCGAGTGCGCTCTCCTCCCGTGCTGTGGGTGGAAAAGCAGGGGACAAACCTACTCCAGCCTTTTTTTTTCTTCTTTCTATCGTGTCAGTAAACAACATTCTCTGTTTTTTTAATGCTTATTCCTCAGCATAGCAATATTCTTTAGAAGATTGGATCAGTAACAACCTCCATTACAAGCAGGCAAACATCTATAATAATTTGCTTCTGACAAGCCACTGTAAATATTCTGGCTGATAACAAAGATGAAGCTGACCAGGACACATATATTTACAGTAGTATAGTACAGAAGAAAAAAGAGTGCATTGGTATAGTGAGAAACACTCAGACTTCCACAACTAAGTGAGTGCTGGCAGGCACCCAGAGTGTAGCTCTCCAACCCATAGTGTCCCTTGATAAGGATAAGGAGATTGACATTTTCCTGCACTACATTCAGTTGCAATTTATGGAGACATCTTTATTCTGGATACTTAATTTGGTTCTGCCTCTGAGGAGTTTGTAGCACAACTCAGTGCAAGAAGAAGCCATATGCTCTCTTCATTTAAAATTCTCATGGAATTGAATAGAAGCCCTGTGTCCAGAGAGCTCCTGTGTTTAAGAGACCTTCCCTGTCCTCCTGAGGCATCACAGATTGTTTTATTTGCAGTTTCGATTGGAGGTGGGGGGTGTTATTGAACAGAAGACAAATTATTTTTGGTTCTCTGATTAAGTTACCCTCTACTTAAACTCCTCCTTCAGCCAGACTTGAAAATGCAGCTCAGTGCCCCTACCAAGCAGCAGTCCTTTCAGAAAACATGCAGGTCACAGGGTTCATTATTTCCAAAAGTAACAGCGCTGACTTTGGAGACAGAGTGTGTCTTGGAAGTCTTGTAAATGTTTACAAAGAGTATTTGAACATAACACTCCCACAGCAATATGTTATGTCAGCCATAAAGAGCATTTAAACATCAGACTCCCACAGCAATATGTTGTGCCAGCCACAATTCCCAGAGGGGAAACTTCAGAGACGGCCACTTGGGCGGGCCAGTGACTGTGGGTTTGTCCAGGTCACATAGGTGACTTCGGGGACACCAATGCCCTGAAAGGCTCTGCCCTCACAAATGCACAGGGAGCTCTGAAGATACTGCTCTGTGCAGTCCCCTGTGTGTACAGCTAGGCACTAGAAATGGAGGCTTTCCAAATTAGAAGCTACTTTTAAAATCTGGCTTCTCCAACTTCCTCGGTAAATCGGAAGCAGAACCAGGAAAAGAGTGTAGGAGCCCCAACTCTGTTGGTAATTTCCTGTTATAACTGCTAGACTAAACTTTTGATTTATTTTTATTTTAACTTTTTGACTGTCACAGCTCCCTTCTCAGTCAGTGACTCTAATTAGTTTGCTGGCAAAGTTACAACATTCTCTGTAGGTGTTTTGCTATTCTGCTTTATGAATGTTTATGCATTGCCCTAACAGATATTATTTTCCTTCCCATATCTTCAGTTTCCCAAACTGTGCCCCACAGGGAATTTAGATTTGCAAACAAGCAAGCTCATTTTCTCTAGTGGGAAACATCATTAGGAATCACTGACAGCACTGAAGGCAACCCTCCAACTCCCTCCACCCTGCAGAATCAAACAAAACAGGTATTTGACAGTATTTGGTAGAAGGCAAAACCTGAGTGAGATACACTAATGGCCTGAGAGATCTTAGGCTGGGTGTTTTGGTTTGTTAGTTGGGGGGATTTTTGTTGTTGGGTTTTGTTGTTGTTGTTTTTTTTTAATTTAAAGTGTCTGGCTCCAGCAGGAGCACAGCTGAATTGCATAAACATTTCCAAGAAACAGCCTGCTCCTTGGCACAGAAGCAGAAACCCTGCCCACAGGGTGCTCGAGCACCCGGTCACTCTGCAACTGAGGTATCTGTGCTCATTCAGCTGGGGGCAAGAACTGTTTTCATCAGAGGTCTTTCCTTAACTAAGTGCCAAAAGAAAGCAAGAAGACATTTTGTCATTCGGTATTAACCTAAAACCCCTTACTTTAGAGAAGTGGGATTTACTTTGTTTAAATCATTAGCCTCCTATTCACTCCCCATCCATTAGAATGGTGGTTAATAATAGGCTTTGGTTGGTGCTCAGGTCCTGCAATTCCTGTACTGAGCATTCTCTTCTTATTCTTTCTGCAGACAGAGATTTATTTATGACCCGAGTTCATCTGGCAAAGTTATGTTCCTGTTCATAATGGCACAATATTTTGTTGTTACCATATTAACATACACTGCCCCATTGCCTGTAGGCCCAGGTAAGTCTTTGGCCTGGTTTCTATCCTTGGCTGCAAAAACTTGGGGTGTCTTCATTCATGGATGTTTCAAGGACCTAAAGGCAGGCCTTTGGTCTGCAGATTTTTCTACAAGGAGCAGAAATTAGCCATTACTTAATGTCTCAATGTCAAGATCTAGGTATTAGGGAATGGATCCTTTGTGATGTTTTGATTTTGGACAAGCACTGACACAGCTGACACAGCCTTTGCAGGTGTACCCAGCCAGTGTGTGTGTTTGCCTTAGCTGGATACAACCAATGTACAAAGCCACTGAATTTTGTGTGGCACAGTAACAAAAATTACCTCAATATTCCATCCCTCACTGACACCCAGCTGTCTCTATTTTTCATCTTCTTTCTTTCTTGAGCCAAAACCACAAATTGGCCATCATAAGATTTTAAAAGTGTTTAAGTTGAGCTTTTCTGCTGGTAACTGGCCAGTCCAGCTCCCTGTCAACCTATCAGAGAGTGCATCTCATGGAGGGATCTGCCAAAGCACTTGGCAATGACGCACATAATAAAGGACTCTCTGCTTTCCCTAAACAATTCCCTCAAAGTATCAGTTTGCAGAGTCAGCAGAAACAAAGCATGCCCCCTCTCCCAACATGCCCTGCTTAAAACTAGATTCATTATAAACAACATGAGGCTGAGTCTCCTCAAAAAAGAATGCAGACACACAATTTAATGCTTTTCTTCCCCTCATCACTCCCAAGTTTGTTTTTTACACAGCTGAAAGGGCTCTGTACAGCACAGGGAAATATGAAATCAGCCTAACATGGGTAGGTGGATCTCCTTCATAAAACTCTGAGGGTCTGCTTGTAAGCAAGCTTCATCAAATGAAGAGAAAAGGGTAACAGCAAACAACAGCTTGATGCACTGACTGGCTCCCGAGTGGCTTGTGGGTGTGGGGGGTCAGAGCTGTATTTTGAAATGTGACCCTTCTGACACTCTCAACTGGGAGATGGCATTAAAAATGCCCTAGCAATCTTCTTGTGTACTACTGTACATGCACAGTTTTAATAAAGATATGACAACAATCCCCAAAATGTTCAATCAGAAAAAGAAAGTATAAGGACTGATTTGGTGTGCTGTGTGTTGTGGCATTCTTGTCCTGATGCTGCAGCAAGTTGCAGAGTGTTTGGAAATTCACAGATGTGCTCTCACTTTTCTCAGCTCTGTGTACACTGTGTACTTGCATCCTTATCCTGAAATGGCACTTAAAAGGGAATTTTTGGATTGGTCAACTTTTTGTTTTCTTTGTCCTTCCTCACCTTTGTGCTCATATAAATCTTGTCTATCAACAGAATACATAGGCATATAGGTGATGGGTTCAGGAATGACACTGCTGATGTCTGACATTGAAGACTTCTGAGGTATTGATTTAAACCAACAGTCACTACATCTTTTATTAGTACATGC